AGTGGGTTCAATTCCAGACCTGAAGGGCAGGTAGGGCTGTAGTCTTGGGGGTTCCACCAGGCTTTTATCAGACCAGCAAACCTGGTGTCCCCCCCCCCTTTTTTTTTTATTTTGATTTTTGTTCCGTATTGTTCTTCAGCTCTATCTAGGATCTTCTATATAGATCTCCCTCTGAGGAGTTCTGGTAGTGTAGTGCCTAAGGCACTTGACTGCTAACCAGAAGGCTGGAGGTTCAAACCCACCAGCCACTCCTCAGAAGGAAAGTTGGGCAATCTACTTCCGTAGTGATATTGCCTCAGAAACGCAAGGAGAAGTTGCTGTGAGTCGGGTCTGACTTAATGGCACATAACAACAACAACAACTGAGTTGTTGACAGTCATAGCCAGGCACTGCCTAGGTCTTCTGGCCTTATAGTCATAGAGGCTGAGAATTGCATGGTGTACCAGTCCCTTGGACTAATTGTTTCTATGTGTCTTTGATTTTCTTTATTCTTCTTTGCTTTGGATGAGGAGCAACCCATCGTTGCCTCTAGATGGTTGCTTGTAAGCTTTTAAGATTCTAGTCACAACTCGCCAAAGTAGGATGTGGAACAGGGTTTTTGTGTAGTATGTTGGACATGTATTTTCATATCTCTTGAGTCCATAGAAGCTTTTGACATGAGGTATTATAAGATAAAACCATTTCTTTGTGTTCTTTGTGAAAGCCATTTATTGGATTTCCAATGGCTTACTCTTGAGGTCTCTTTCTGGTGTGCCTTGAGCTTCTTGAATAGTATGACCCTGTCATTGCCAAGGTGAAGTGTCATGTTTATCAATGTCAGGGGGTAGACTAGGATCTCTAAAGATGATTGCCTTGTGGTATGCATTGTCAGCTCTCCAACAGATGAACTATTTCCCATTATTAGTTTTTTTTTTCTTTTCATTTTTTCATTAAAGAAATCAATGAAGTACTATTGGGCATATTCAACATCACATTCAGCTTAGCAAAACTGCAAATGCACTCTTTGACCTGCAGTTTTATTGTAGGAACATATACTGAAGATACATCTCCAACAATATGAAAATACATGAGCACAAGGTCATCCTATATCTCAGCATCGTTCACAATTGCTAACGACCTAAAAACACTGTGATATTGAAGATAACTTAAACATCCATACACAGGAGAAGGCTGGATAAGCTTTGGTGGGTCCACCCAAAGTACTATGCAGAGTAAGGAAGCTCTCCAGGAACTCATTTGTGGTGATGTTCACCAGATGCTGGAAGGAAACAAACTAAAGTCAAGTCTGGTATGCTATCCTCATGTGAGGAAAAGGGAATATAAGAAAATACATTTGTATTTGCACATTTGTGAAAAATAGATACAAGAAAGATATAAGCAGCTAAGGAGATGGGCTACTACAGAGAGCAAGGGGTGGAAAGTAAAGGGGAGTAGACACAGGGTAGTAAGGGTAGGAGAATGACATTTCTCTGAGTATCCTTTTTTGTGTAGCCCTCAATCTCTGAAGGACAGTAGTATTTCACATATCTCAAAGCAAAATAAATATTTAATATCAATGAGTATGGAGAGGAGGACACCAAATGGAGTACAAACAGAAACAAATGACTTCACTGTTACAAAACAGTAACAGAACCATAATTAAGGGGCTAAGGAAGAAAAATATTAACCTAATTTTAGACAACATTATGTTGATTGGATTCTGTAAGGCTAAAGACAACAAGAACTACAGGAAATACTGTACTTTAGTATTAAATTTGTTTACCCATAACCTAGGTGTATGAATTAGAGTCTGACTACTTTATATGTACATTAAGATTGAACAAATAAGTAAATACATAGTGTGTAATGAGAGCCAGGGTTTTCACTGTCTGAGGAAGGAGTTGAAAACAAGGAGAGGAGGAAGACAACAAGGAGCCTTGTGGTGGTGTATTGCAACCCCAGTTAGTGATATGAATCCATGGTTTTTAATATGCATATATATCCAGAGAGAGAAATTCAAAAGTATATATAGATATGTATATAGCGTGAATTAGTGTACACATATGCACACATGCATATCTTCTAACCCGTTGAGAAGGCCTACAACCAACAACACTCCAGTAGCGATGAAAACAAAAACCAAACTCACCGCCATTGAGACAATTCTGACTCATAGTGATACCCACTGGGTTTCTGACGCTGTAAATCTTTATGGAAGCAGACTGCCCCATTTTTCTTCCATGGAGCGGCTGTTGGGTTCGAACCACCAACTTTTTGGTTAGCAGCCAAATGCCTTAACCATTACTCCACCAGAGCTCTTTCCAGTAGCAATGAGCACCTCTAAATACCATTCTCCGATAACAGGAAACAAGACTCCTTGAAGAAGATGGGTCTGGAACATCTGGTAGTACTAGAAAGAAAGAGTACTCAGAAAAGGATGAGGCTTGTTGAAAGGACACAGGAGCCAACCAAAGAGGCTGAAGCTGGAACGACTTGAACAACAAAATAGTGACAGTATTGGTTTATAATCCATAGCATAAAATATCCATGAGTACATCCTGATATAATTAATTAAATAAATAAGTAAATAAATGGGGGAAAAGGAGTAGCTCTCCCTTATAGAATTTAATTAATAAATGGAGAAAGAAAGTGGGATGTAAAATATCACAATTAGGCAAATACCACTGTGATAGTTAACTTCAGGTGGTTGCTAAATTTAGTAGGTGAAGGTTCTAGGAGAAACAGGATATTTGCATAGTCTCAAAGTATCTTTTCCCCAAGTTATTTATTTATTAAAAAGGGAAAAATGGTAACTCTAGAGTAGAGAAACCCAGCAGTTACCACCTAAGCCAGTGATCAAGGTTAGCATCACCTATGATAAGATGTATCACCGTCACATACCTACCTGCAGTGACACACATTTATAATCGTAATCTCAGGGTGAGGAAATATCACATAAACCTCAATTGAGGAACATACTATAAAAGCCTGACCATACTCTTCAAAGGTGTCAAGGTCATAAAAAATAAGGAAAAACTGAGGGACCATCCCAGCTTGGAGGACCAAGGAGACATGACAACTAAGTGCCATGTGGGGTCCTAGATGAGATCTGGAACAAGGAGAGGACAGTGGAAAACTGGTAGAATTCAAATAAAGCCTGAAGTTGTATTGTACCAAAGTGAATTTCTTAATTTTTGTCATTGCTGTATGATTCTGTAAGATGTCAACACTGGGGGAAGCTAGGTAAAGGAGGGGGGCAGCTCTACTGTTTTTTTTTCTGTTAAGTCTAAAATCTCAAAATGAAAAAGTTAAGGAAGGCTTGATGCTCCACATGGAGTATCTGTTGAACTGTCTGTGACCTGAGAGGAGAGTAGGCACCCATTGCCATTCCTCCTATTTGTAGTATGCTACTGCTTTATGCAAATAACATGTGCATTATAGTTTTTGGTTTTTTTTTTTTTTTGCCAAGTGCACAACTCTCTCATATATTAGTTTCCTGTGCTCACTATGCGAGTTACTTATGTGCAAGCATTATATGTGAAAAATACAGTATCAGAGTTATTTTGATGAGAAATCATGCGTTCTTCCTGGAAATTCTTGTTACCCCTCCAGCTCCACTGTGGAACATTCCCACCCCTGTGGCAAGGAAGAGCAAAACTGAGCCCTTCAGAATGACATGAGTGGGTGAGGAGCCCCTTTTCAGGTCACAGCGAAGAGCTGTTATTTCCAGAAGGTTAAGGGCTCCTGGGTAGACCACAATGCCAAGTGCCACTATATTGAGGTCAACTTTGGAGCCTCTGGTGTGTCACATGTGTGCGAATGTTTTCCTAGTATGACTTTGGATTTTTGATTTTATTTATTTATTTTTCCACAGAGAGGTTTTAAATTTTTATATAGTGAAATTTATCAGTCTTTTCCCTTATGGGTTTTGAGTCTTGTGTGAGAACATTTTCTCTGCCTCAGGAGTCATATTTTTCTTAATTTCTTTGAATTCTTTCATACTTTTTGCTCATATTTAGCTTGTTAATCTGTGTGAAATTTGATTTTGTATGGTTTGAGATCTAGTATTTTCTCTAGTTGGCTAGCCAGTAGCCTCAATCATTGAGTAGAGTCTGCCCTTTGCCCAGTGACCAGAAATACCACTTTTACCATATACTGAATTCTTTTTTTCAGTTATATTTTCTAACTGCTTATTGTGTGAGAAAACTATTGATTTTTATGTGTTGATGATGTTAACAGCTTGTTATTCAGGTCTTGGGTTTTCTAAGAGGATAACATTGTGCAAACAATGCTTCTTCCTTTTTAACCTTTATTCCTTTTTTTTTTTTTTTTAATTATTCATTGACTGAAACTTCTGATACAGTGATGGATATAATGGTGGATGTTGTTGTTGTTGTTATGTGCCGTCGAGTTGGACCCGACTCATAGTGACCCCTCCTTGGGTTTCTGAGGCAGTATCACTACGAAAGTAGATTGCCCTGTCTTCCTTCCAAGGAGTGGCTGGTGGGTTTGAACCACCAGCCTTCTGGTTAGCAGTCAAGTGCTTTAGGTACTCTGCTACCAGAGCTCCTATAATGGTGGCTAGTAGTGATGATTCTTATGCTACTTCTCTTGTCCCTACCTTTAATATTTCACCATTAAGTATGATGTTTACTATAGTTGTGTTGTAGATACTCACAATCTATTAAGCAACTTATCTTCTATTCTTAACATACTGAGAGTTTTAAAAATTATCTTTATCATGAATTAAAAAACAAAACAAAACTGTTATCAAGTCGTTTCTGACTCATAGAGACCCCTCCTTTGGTTTCCGAGGTGGCACCTCTACGGAAGCAGATTGCCCAGTCTTCCTTCTGAGGAGTGGCTGGTGGGTTTGAACCTCTAGCCTTTTGGTTAGGAGTCAAATGCCTTAGGCACTACACCACCAGAGCTCAGAGTTTAAATTGTGTTCATTTCTCTGCAACTATTAAGGTAATCACATGGGTTTTCCAATCTGTTAATAAATTTCATTAGATAATAAGATGGCGGCACCTGAGAAGATGATGTTTTCCGAGAAACAGAGCCACAGAAAGTACAGGGCCGCCTTGAAGAAGGAGAAACGAAAGAAACGTCGGCAGGAGCTCGCTCGATTGAGGAACTCAGGACTCTCACAGGAGGAGAAGGAGAAGGAGAAGGAGAAGGATGCTTTTACTGAAGAATGCCAACTAGAAGAGAAGCTGTTGGAGATAGAGAGGCAAAAGTTACATGAGGAGTGGTTGCTGAGAGAGCACAAGGCACAAGAAGAATTCCAAATAAAGAAGGAAAAGGAAGAGGCTGCTAGAAAATGGCAGGAAGAACTGGAGAAAAAGTTAAAGGAAGAATGGGAAGAACAGCAGAGAAAAGAGAAAGAAGAAGAGGAGCAGAAACTCCAGGAGAAGAGAGAAAGAGAGGAAGCTGTGCAGAAGATGCTGGATCAGGCTGCAAACAAGTTGGAAAATGGTAGCACATGGCAAAACCCAGAACCTCCCTTAGATGTAAGAATAATGGAGAAAGATCGAGCTTATTGTCCGTTCTACAATAAAACAGGAGCATGCAGATTTGGAGATAGATGTTCACGTAAACATTATTTCCCAGCATCGAGTCCCACCCTTCTTATAAAAAGCATGTTTACAACATTTGGGATGGAGCAGTGGAGAATGGACGACTACGACCCCGATGTAAGCCTGGAGTACAGTGAAGAGGAAACGTACCAGCATTTCCTGGAGTTCTATGATGACGTGCTCCCTGAGTTCAAGAACGTGGGGAAAGTGATTCAGTTCAAGGTCAGCTGCAACTTTGAACCTCATCTTAGGGGCAACGTGTATGTTCAGTATCAATTGGAAGAAGAATGCCAAGCAGCCCTTTCTCTGTTTAATGGACGGTGGTATGCGGGACGACAGCTGCAGTGCAAATTCTGCCCTGTGACCTGTTGGCAAATGGCAATTTGTGGTTTATTTGAGACCCAGCAGTGTCCAAGAGGAAAACACTGCAACTTTCTTCATGTGTTCAGAAATCCTAACAATGAATTTTGGGAAGCTGACAGAGACATGAACCTGTCCCCAGATTGGACTAGCTCATTCTTTGGGAAGAATTCAGATAGGAGAGAGAGGATGGGCCACCATGACGACTACTATGACAGGCTGAGGATTAGACGAAGCCTTAGTTCAGACCATTCCTACAAAAGAAACTGGGAGTCTAAGAGGAAAAGTAGTCGCAGGGGGAAGAAATCTCACAAGCGCAGGCCGAAAAGTCAGGAAAGGCACAGCTCCCGGGGCCGAGGAAGAAAGAGGGACTGCAGCCGCAGCCGCAGCCGCAGCCGCAGCCACAACCGGCGAAGTCGCAGCTGCAGTCTCAGGAGCCGGGGAAGTCGGACCCAGAGCCAGAGGAGCCGGAGCTCCTCCAGGTCCAGGAGCTGTGGTGGGCAGAGGTTGGGCAGTAGAGACGGAAATAACCACAGTCTCAAAACCAAATAAAGCAGCTGTTTCTAAATTACTGTATCT